AATTGGAATTCCATGTCCCAGACTCATTGGAATCCCATGTCCCAGACTAATTGGAATTCCATGTCCCAGACAGATTGGAATTCCATGTCCAAGACTGAATGGAATTCCATGTCCCAGACTGATTGCAATCCTATGTCCCAGACTGATTTGAATTCCATGTCCAAGACTCATTGGAATTCCATGTCCCAGACTGATTGGAATTCCATATCCCAGACTCATTGGAATTCCATGTCCCAGACTGATTGGAATTCCATGTCCCAGACTGATTGGAATTCCATGTCCCAGACTCATTGGAATTCCATGTCCCAGACTGATTAGAATTCCATGTCCCAGACTGATTGGAATTCCATGTCCCAGACTCATTGGAATTCCATGTCCCAGACTGATAGGAATTCCATGTCCCAGACTGATTTGAATTCCATGTGGCAGACTGATTGGAATTCCATGTCCCAAACTGATTGAAATTCCATGTCCCAGACTAAATGGAATTCCATGTCCCAGACTGATTGGAATTCCATGTCCCAGACTGATTAGAATTCCATGTCCCAGACTGATTGAAATTCCATGTCTCAGACTGATTGGAATTCCATGTCCCAGACTGACTGGAATTCCATGTCCCAAACCGATTGGAATTCCATGTCCCAGACCGATTGAAATCCCATGTCCCAGACTAATTGGAATCCCATGTCCCAGACTGATTGGAATCCCATGTCCCAGATTCATTGCAATTCCATGTCCCAGACTCATTGGAATGCCATGTCCCAGACTGATTGGAATCCCATGTCCCAGACTGATTGGAATCCCATATCCCAGATTCATTGGAATCCCATGTCCCAGACTGATTGGAATTCCATGTCCCAGACTGATAGGAATTCCATGTCCCAAACTGATAGGAATCCCATGTCCCAGACTGATTGGAATCCCATGTCCCAGATTCATTGCAATTCCATGTCCCAGACTCATTGGAATGCCATGTCCCAGACTGATTGGAATCCCATGTCCCAGACTGATTGGAATCCCATATCCCAGATTCATTGGAATTCCATGTCCCAGACTGATTGGAATTCCATGTCCCAGACTGATAGGAATTCCATGTCCCAAACTGATAGGAATTCCATGTCCCAGACTGATTTGAATTCCATGTCGCAGACTGATTGGAATTCCATGTCCCAGACTGATTGGAATTCCATGTCCCAGACTGATTGGAATTCCATGTCCCAGAGCGATCGGAATTCTATGTCCCAGACTGATCCCAACTAATGTTTTGAACGGTTCACTGGCAGCGAAATCTACTGTCCAATGCGTTATGCCACGAACAGTATTGCAAACTGTAGGCATGTGGGTGTAAAGGCTGTATGCTTAAGTTTTTAGTTTGCAGTTTAGCGCCCTCACTTGGCTATTATTGGACATTCTTAGGGTCCTTTTGGTGGCATCAGCCAGCAGATCGTGAGTCGCTAGTGTGCTGCAACTTTGAGATTTTGTCGACCAATGCACAGAGTTATGGAATAATGTTTGTAAGGATCTAGATCGGGGAGTTTGAAAACTGACCATGTGCGCCATTGTACATGTCAATTCGATAAACCCATGTTGCAGAGAACTCATCATTTTAATTATTTAGACCAACAGTGAATTTCATTTACACTGCAATACATTGATTGATAGTTTTGTTTATTTTACCGCTTTTCTGATTACATTTTATTTATATTTGTTACAATTTTACGTAAATAGTAAAATATTGAGCTATTAACCACGCTCTGTGGAATGCAAGTCATTGTATGCAAATGTAGAACTTGACGTTGTATAGTTTATGGAAAAAAGCGTGAAACAGAAATCGGGTTTGGTATATTTGCTATTAACAGTTCCAAAAAGGGCGAATACATGTACTTCACACAAAACCAAAAAGGAAAGCGCATTGTTGCCGATTAAGAACTAATTACGTGTGCATTTAAGTTATCTAGAGTTGATTTAAGTTAATCCCACACATTTGTGGTGAGATTTGTTTGTGTATTGTCACCAAGTTGCATTGATGTTGTCATGACGATGCCATGGGGCGACGCCCTCACTGGCGGAGTCCACATGCCGTCATGACAACGCATGCAAAGTATTTAGACTATTGGTTGAACGATTAACAATGTCGTTTATAAAAAATGGGGGGTTCTAGCGTATTAAGTGAGAAGAGGACCGGGGGCGTATGGTGACGATTTTAGTGGTAATAAATATCCGGCTATACTATATTACTAGTGTCCTTATGACTGAATGGTGCGTATAAGTGTCGAGCGATCCTGGTGTACCACTCACTGCCTTGCGAGTTACCCATTACCCGTTACAACCACTTCCCGTATATTCAACCTGACGAACCATCCACCCATAACAACCCCTGATAGACGAAACCCGCATTGTTTACAGTATACTGTGACAAGCGTAATTCCTTGTTCAACTTTTGTTCGTCATCTTGGTTGTCTCGATTATGAATCACTTGTTTAACAATGGTGTAGACTTCAGTTATGATCGGTACACTGATGATGAAGACAGCACCAATCCACGCCCAGCCTTGGGACACACCGACCCAGATGTTGAACTCAGTAGCGTCCATAACATTAATAGCGATCATAGAGGCAGGCCATATTATTATAAGGATTGCTGTCAAAAGTACAGCGCTAACTATCGCTGCAATCTTGGCAACCCTGAACGTTTTCTCCACTAGTTTCAACTCAGGTCGGTTAGACAAACGCTTAGAATCGTAGTGCCCGATTTCGCTGAAATGAAAGTAACCAAAATAAAGGTAAGTGATTGCGTATTTAGACGTTTCACATACGTTTTCATAAATAATATATACTCGACTTCATCTTTGTATCTTCATTTTCTTCAATTTTCTAAAAATGTTTCCCATGCAAACATATTAGTGAGTCAACTTGGGAGTATCTAAATTCATAAGGTCGAATACCCATAAATTATTTGATTTTAGTAGCAAACCACAAATATCAACTTTAGAATCGTTTACGACCGACATTGTAGCAACAAAGGATTGCGTCTTGAAACAAGGCGAAGGGAAACCATTGTTGTGTCGGGAGACGATTGAACTACTTCATATTGGGTCAATTGACGGAACAGCTAGCTATCAGAAATTAACATTCTCAGAGAATACAAAAACATACTGTTTATTTGTTGTAGTCACGAAAGATAACACAATCAAATTTAACATTGCGACCACAGTTAAGCCAATTGCACAACCAGGTCGCAGAATCACGTACAGTCTCAGCAAGATCATTGACGGGAAATAATGAGAACCGTAAATGTGTCTATTTGATTGCGTAGTTTGCTGTGTATTCTTGGACTGCATACTCATCATATATGAATTCTTATATCTCTTGACTTATGTGTGAACAATTCAGATTCTAATTATTAAATGGTGGAG